AACTTTTTGGTCTCCAGAGGATTTACTGAACTTTGGGATTGAGTGTGCAGACTCTGACACATCCTTGCTTTAAATAAAAAGTAATCTCAACTCTTGCTAGGAACACATGGATGAAATATGTACTTCCCAGCTCTTGACTGCTGTAAAACGTATGGTCCTAACCCTTACTCAACAAAATGATGAAAGCAAAGAATTTGTCAAGATATTTCATAAGCAACTTGGTAGCATTTTGCAGGTGAGTATACAATTTGTGAGCTCCTTAAATCTTAGAGATTATTTTCACAATCACTATGGTGCTGGTAAAGTTTTGGAAAGATTATTTTACCTTGACTCTTTGATATGAATACTTCTACCATTGGTGGCAGCTGGTTTTAGCACTTCAGTACATCTGTCTGCATAGAGCCTAAGCTACTGAATCAAAGCTGAGCACTTTATAATCTCTTTATTAACCTTGAAAAATTAATATGGAAAAAGAGCTTGAATAATCTAGCAGTTCAAGTAAAATTATGGAAAGTGCAGCCTGTAGCATTTATCTGATTTGTGAATGTTGAGACTTAAAAGCTGCTCATCTTTACAGTGTGATAAAACAAATATTTTAATTAAACTTGCTTTGAATGTGTCATTTGAAATGTTACTTCAGTGGTTACAAATGAGAATTATCCAAGTTCTCTTTGTATTGTTTTATGTTGATTCAAAGAGAAAGGACTGTAAGAAGGGTTGTGATGCAGCTCTTATTTCTTTTAATAGAGGGATATTTATGCCTTCTATTTTTGCTGGAGAAGTTGGCATACTAAGCTGATTTCTTAATCAAACAAGGAATATACAAACAATCAGAATATGTCTGAAAAAGGAGTATCTTGTCACAGGAGATATATGGGGGAGAACTTAATCCAAAGTGTTATGCTTTAGAATCTTAGAACTGCTAAATGCCTTAGAGCCTTGCTTACCCACAAACACATTCAATGATCTTAGCCAAGCCTTTCAGCTAATATGGTAATTTATGAAGGTGAAATTGAATTATGCTGTATCAGTCACCCTGAATATAATCAGGAGAAGGAAAATGATGATAGTTAAATGTATTAGATATATTAAACCTTTTTTCTTTCTTTTGACAGGATTCACTGGCAAAATTTGCTGGTAAAAAATTAAAGGATTGTGGGGAGGACCTTCTTGTTGAGATTTCTGAAGTCTTATTCAATGAATTGGCCTTTTTTAAACTCATGCAAGACTTGGACAACAACAGCTTAACAGTAAAGCAAAAGTGTAAACCAAAAATAGAAGTAGGTGGAATGGCATAATCTTATACTAAAGAGGTTAATATAAAATTTTGTTACATGTAATGTAAATATATTGTTAATATATTTCAGATTCTGTTAAATTTAAATTTTAAGTTGACTAGTTTACTATGCATTCTCTTCCTGTCAATATTCTTCATCAGGTCAGGTGAGACTCAGTTCTGAGGAATTCAACTTTCGAATAAGACTTCAGAAATCTCAACAAGAAGGTCCTCCCCACAATCCTTTAATTTTTTACCAGCAAATTTTGCCAGTGAATCCTTTCTCTTCCTGTCAATATTCTTCATCAGGTCAGGTGAGACTCAGTTCTGAGGAATTCAACTTTCCCCATTTATTGGTCTCTAAGCATTTTCATTGGTAGCTCCCATCGTCTCCAAACACTGGACATACTGGTTGGGATTGATGGGAATTTTAATCAAAATTTATGAAGGGCACCAATTTGAGCATTTCTAATTAGCTTAGAAAGTAACTCAGCTTCAAAATTAAACCACGCTTCATATTCTCCTTAATAAAGGATATTTTTGGTTCTTTAAACAATAATCAGAAGAAAGATATACATGCTTTGGAAATAAATGTTCATGAATTAGAGGAAGGTCGTATATTTTTCTTTATTTCCTTTGTCACTAGTAAAGACTGCAGATGTCATAGGGAGTGCTTGTGGTAAAGATATGTCTTATGACAAGCAGGACTACTTTATTGTTTGAAGAC